TATATATATAGTAACATTACATTATCATTTCAATGTAGCCGGGCAGAACATTGCTCGTAAAGCTATTTTGTGCACTACGAGTGGCTGTTCACAAGCTTTCGTGTGTGTGTGCGCGCGCGCGCGCGCTTTGTTGCACGTGCGTGTGTGTGTGTGTGTGTGTGTGTGTGTGTGTGTGTGTGTGTGTGTGTGTGTGCAGGCGTGCGTACTTACTTGGTATTTGTTGTGTTCCAATAAATAGACTCCAAAATGAGCGCCCGACACAAGTGTACTTTGAAGACAAGAACCAGAACTCCAAAATAATATCTCCACATCGAGTCCCCCATGTTTTGACTGGTTGGAGAGTCTCCGGGTGGTTGCACGATTTTTGTCAAAATAAATACACCTGTCCCAAAAATCTATTCAAACGACAAGCTCTCCCGAATGGAAAAAAAAAGTCGTTTCTTCGACTTTGTATCCCGATCCAGTGGAGACGCACGCTGGTCACAGACCCCGACGCGGTCTACAGCATCGTCAGGAGAAAGACCAGCGTCACAAAGCCAAGACGCATAGTTTATTCACTGGCGCTGCGTATATTCTCCTCTGCTCAGAGCGCGTACTGAAAGCCGTCGCTATACATTCCTCAGAGCGAACAAGTGTTGTTTGTAGAATTAAAAAAAAAATAAATCCCCTTTGTCTGAGTCCAGCAATTCGCATCAAATCCAAAGCAGCGGCAACGGCAGAGTAAACGGGAGCGAAGCCTAGTTGTGGAATGCAATGATATTCCCCCTTTCAGATGACGCTGGTGGTGATAAGCAACAATTTGTGGCTAATAGCAGCAGAAAAAACGAAAAGGACGAAACAATGGTGATGGTCAAAATGAAGAAAATGATCAAACATGAGAATGAAATAAATCAAAAGAGCTGATGTGAAAGTTCTCATAATAGAGGTCCACAAAAGGGCTGCAGCGGCAAAATGTTGCAGATCCGTTCCAAACGACCGCGGACGACGTGCGGATCACGCTTCTGCTCAGCTCCGAAACCTGGATAGAAAGTAACTGGGAGAGACCGCGAGCGGATATATTAGGTGGAGTCGGGTTAACCAAGACCCCGCCCATGAGCGCAGCTGATTGGTCCCTGGGCGGGGAAGTCAGCACAAGTCGGCTGTCAGTCAAGCAGGGAGACTGGTTCAGTGAGTGCTGTGCCGGTGGGGGAGGGAGAGGAAGGAGGACAACTTGACTCAATTGACCAATGTAATGGAACTGATTTTCAAGATTAACATATGTATAACATATATCAGAGCCAGACACTAATAGATCAATTACATTCAAGTGACGTCACGTAAAAGTCTAGCGTTTCCACAATTACACAAGATAAACATGAAAGCTTAAAAAATAAAATAAAAGGGTGTTCAAATTGCTTCTGGTCCCACAATCTGGGCCATGACGACAATTTACTCGTGAGTCCGGACCGTGAAGCACAACGACGCAAAGTGCCTCCCATGAGTGTAATTGAGAGAGAGAGAGAGAGAGAGAGAGAGAGAGAGAGAGAGAGAGAGAGAGAGAGAGACAGATGATAAGAGGGAGAGAGAGAGAGAGAGAGAGAGAGAGAGAGAGAGAGAGAGAGAGAGAGAGAAGAAAAAGTGCAATTGAAAACAGGTCGAATTTTTTCAAAAGGCAAGAGCACCCACTAGCGGAAATGCCACACCGAAGAAAAGCATAAAAAGGGTACTGGACTAAATTAAATTACATTTTGCGCGTGTGTATGAAGCTTTACGAGAGTGAATTCAACAAAATTAATTAGCCTACTATATTTTTCTATAAAATATTTTTTATTGGACAAGACCACTACTGTACTTGTAATTTTGAGAGTAGTAATGCCTACGAAATTATACAACTTTATTTAATTATGGGACATACAGTACTTTTACCCCGATAAGATTTTTTTAAATTCATTCAACGAGCGAGTTCTTTTATCGAATGAAGATTCAAGCAGCCTTTGCTCACACTGAATTATATGTAGTCTATCAATACTTCGACGAGCTCGCTTCACAAACACGCGCACGCTCACAAGCCAAATCTTTGTTGATAGTCTTTCATTAGACCGCAACTCAGCTATACCAACGTGTGAAGATCTGACACTTTTTAACAACTTAATTTGATCAGGGTCGTTAAAAAGCAGCCGCTGTGGATTGCGTTTGTTTGCCCACCCAATAATCAGGTTGATGTTAACACTAGGGAGATAATTTAGGAGTCGGATGCCACTTGTCCTGGCCGGGAATAAACACAAACAAAGCCACAGGCAAAACCCACTGATGTTTATTGCATCCGCTTGCTTGACCGACCGGTTAATTAATTGAATTCAGAGAGGCATTAAAGGAAAACGGTACCAATTGTATTAGATGATTAAAGTTAACAGTCAAAACTTTGAGCAACTTTTTCTATGTTGTCTGCAGACCAAATTAAGCAATTTACAGTATTCGTGTGATGAAGTTAGGACATAGAAACATGCCTTTGGGTGTATTGCCACTTGACATTAGTTTTAAATAGATTTTTTGAAGCCATATACCTATATGATACGCATGGATAATTTCATGCAGTTATCCATGGCTAAAGTCTACCTGCGTGTAACAGTAATTTACCTACTTTTGAGGACATTGCCACGAACTACCTTGCTAAATTTTTACGAGTTTGATGGATCACCCGGTTACAAGTCGGAATACGTCGTCATCCCAGACGGCAAATGGCGTGACTGACACCGGCACGAAGGCGCTTGGAGACACGCGGACATTACGGTGTTTATTTGCAATTGATTTATTTTTATTTGCTTTCAACATATGTACTCAGTTTCACATTTTGTGCATAGAAACGTTACCGAATTATTTGCTTCGAAAGCAATGTCGAACTATTCATAATTGTCCCTGTTGTGAAAGCGCTTTGGATGTATTATATTGTACGTCAAGTATTATTTAGATATCTTTGGCATTTGACTAGGCGTGACTCAGACTTGATCTTAGTTTTACTGTTTTGTGCTTTCTACTGTCTTCGTTATTAATATATTGTTTTGTTGTATGTATGGAATTTGCTCCATGTCCAGCACTTTGATGGCTGTTTTAAAGTGCTCTATAAATACAGTTGAGAATATAATTCATTAAATATTAACATTTTAATTAAACGAATGTAATTGCGTATGGATTTGGGTGCGGGACTTAGCGAAGGAACTGACAGCTATGTTTACTCGGCCTCTACTCGGCCGAGCACCGAATAAGCAGAGGCGGCTTTGAGAACGACGGAATGGCAGAACCGGCCGGGCTAGTTTTTGTTTCTCCAGCTGACCGTGTGTCGATCTTTGGGTAAACGTCATGGTACCAAATAAACACGCGTGTGTATTACTTTGAAATGTTTTTTTTTTAACTTCAACACTGTTCACACCTGCATCGGTCGCATGTGTAAAAAAGTGTGCATTTAGATTTCATCTGAATAAAAAAATATTTTATTTCAATACCGACAGTGGCCTGGTAGGTTCTGCTTCTCGAGCCGTGAAGGGTCCAAGCCAAGCGCCGTAACACCGGCTTCACGTCAAATAAAAATAACATAACCCTCCCCCATAATGTAACATAAAACAATATACCAAAGGATTCTCAAACCTATAATATAGCGCACACTTGATTTCGAACGGGTATGTCAAAACGTGCGCTTTTAAACGTTTCAGTTTAACTCATTCACTCCCAAAGACATATATTTACACAAACCACACGTTCAACCCCAGATACTTTTTTTTTCAATTTTTCCAAGACTGAGGGTAAAAATAAGGGGTCTAGAATTGGCTGGTACTGAATGAGTTAAATACAAATACCAAAAAAAAACTTGCACAAATGGTTTTGCTGTGATCCGTCAATATCAAAGCAGCATTGTTTTGGAACATTGACATTAATATTAGGCGAGTGGATGTTGAACTATGATATGGCCAGTGACGTTTTTTTAATCACACATATTGACTTTTGTACAATGCATTTCGTGACTATTTTACGAACAACAATAAAGACGTTTCAATGGGTTTATTGGTCAATTCTTGCGACAACTGAAAAAGGTACACGAGGACACCCACCTTAATCAGTATACCCACCTGAGGTCAGCTCATCTCACACCCGTGCACACACACCCACTCACAGACATACACACACATACACACGCGCACTCACACACAAACCGTATTCGCTGACCTCAATCCATACCTTACCTGAATTTGGCCATCCTCTACCCTTCCAGAGTTACCAAGCGATGCAACTAGCCACATTAATTTACATTACAGGGCTGAAGAACATAAATGACATAGGTTGACATTTCTGGGAAAAAAAAGTTCTTACTGTGACCTGTTTGATGAAAAGTGATTGTTTTGAAACGTGAAAGGTTGAGGGAGAATCAGCACATCACACCAAGGATTCACAATGTGACATCACACAGAACAGTTGAGTTCTCCACTTTTTACACTCCTTAGCACGTGAGAGGGAAAAAAATAAAATCTAACATTGGATCTAAGTGTCGGACAGCTCGGGAGGGAGGCTTTGTTTTAGTGATACTGAGTGAATTCCAATGAGGTTCCTCTCAACAAATATCCATGCATGGACAACAACAAAATAAGACCAGTGTGAATTTGACACAGACAAGCCAACTGATACAGAGAATTGAGAAACGGAAATAACTGCTTTTCAAGGCTCTGCTGTGATTTGTTGCCAAAGTACATTTAAAAAAAAAAAAAAAAAAAAACGAACTAAAAAAAAGAGAACCCAATGCCAGCTCCCAAGCTGCACATGACACTTTACAGTAACCTGAACTGGATGTCATAATTATTCCTCTTCATCCGGGACCATTTGCTGCTAATGATGTCAGCATAGTACTGGCGCGCAGTTACTCATTACACCGAGTTAAGACTTACTTTACGGCAAGGGTCATGTTAAAGAATTCTACATCAAATGTTCGTAGTCCCTAAAAAACTAATTAAAAAACATGACAAAAGCACAAACTTGAGTTTTTATGTGTGGCTGGGAAAAAAACAATGAGGCAAAGGAGTAGTCAGGTCCATCAAGGTCTCGATGTTCTTCCTTGCCAGGAGGCAAGATGTGGACCTTCACTGGGTTGCAAGTTTAAACACTAAGTTGCACCACTTTTTCTTTTCCTTCGTTCAGCACTTCCAAAATGAAGCGAGTAGCCGACATAGGACTGGGGTTGATGAGGAGCAGAGCTGGATGGGACTGAAGGGAATCACTCCCTCATTCGGTGGCCTTGAGGGAAAAGGAGAGCTTCGGTCTGGACTTGCCCTTGCCAAGGATGATTTTCTGCTCCTCCTTCTGCTGCTTCTGTCGGTCCTGCTCCAGTTTCATGCGCTCCTCATGAATTTTCCTTTGCTCCTCCACAATGCGCAACTGATCTTCAGCCTGACAGAAAAATAACGTAGTCCCAAGTTGAAAGTTCATTGAGGGCAGACAAGCTCAGAACACAAAAAATAAGCCATTTTGTATATACAGTTGAAAGCAGGAGTTTACATCAACTATAAAAAGACACCCCCCCCATTGTCTAACAGGAAATCATACAAAGTTTTCCTATTGCACATCAATTAGGAAAACCAAAATGTTTTATATCTTTGGGATGTCACGCTCCAGTATTTTTAGAATTGACTGTTATATCAATTAACGAAATAACATTTTAATTTGCATTAAAATATATGACACAACTATCACCCTCTGCCCAATGATGTTTTTTTTTTTAACCAAATGCAGTTTATTTGGTATTTCTTACTGATTTAAAAGTGCATGCCTGTAACGGCACCTTCATCCGTTGCCATTATTGGTCAAAGGATAAGCTTGGTCGGCATGCAGAAGTTGCTACATCGCCCAATCGGCGCAAAGTATTGTACCAACTGTCCCGCCTTTCCCGAGCAGATCACACTGAAGCAGTCTCAGATTGATACTGTAGAGCAGGGGTCCCCAACCTTTTTTGCCCCCCGGACCGGTTTATGTCAGACAATATTTTCAGGGACCGG